AAACGGTCTACAAAGTACATACGCCAGATGCGCAAACATCCGGAATTCGGTCGTTCCTTTCCTTACAATCCGGTCCGGATCAGCTACTCCGGGATCAGCATTCAGCTAGTACTCCGGATTAGCCACTCCGGATCACCCGATCCGGGGAACTCCAGTGCAGTACCCTGCCCTCAGTAAAATACCCGCATTGTCTCAGGCTATTGTTGTACAGTATAGTGTGCTGTCTGCATCTCCTGCCCAGTAGCTAATTGGGGTGATGTGTCTCTAATTACTTCCGGTTATACCAGCTAGAGCCGAGAGAGCTACTAGTAGTCCAGGTAGTCGGTCTACTACTGCTGCCGCTACTTGAGAGTAGGTAGCTACTAATTGTGGGTCACTACTGCTGCCGCTACTTGAGAGTAGGTAGCTACTAATTGTGGGTCACTACTGCTGCCGCTACTTGAGAGTAGGTAGCTACTAATTGTGGGTCACTACTGCTGCCGCTACTTGAGAGTAGGTAGCTACTAATTGTGGGTCACTACTGCTGCCGCTACTTGAGAGTAGGTAGCTACTAATTGTGGGTCACTACTGCTGCCGCTACTTGAGAGTAGGTAGCTACTAATTGTGGGTCACTACTGCTGCCGCTACTTGAGAGTAGGTAGCTACTAATTGTGGGTCACTACTGCTGCCGCTACTTGAGAGTAGGTAGCTACTAATTGTGGGTCACTACTGCTGCCGCTACTTGAGAGTAGGTAGCTACTAATTGTGGGTCACTACTGCTGCCGCTACTTGAGAGTAGGTAGCTACTAATTGTGGGTCACTACTGCTGCCGCTACTTGAGAGTAGGTAGCTACTAATTGTGGGTCACTACTGCTGCCGCTACTTGAGAGTAGGTAGCTACTAATTGTGGGTCACTACTGCTGCCGCTACTTGAGAGTAGGTAGCTACTAATTGTGGGTCACTACTGCTGCCGCTACTTGAGAGTAGGTAGCTACTAATTGTGGGTCACTACTGCTGCCGCTACTTGAGAGTAGGTAGCTACTAATTGTGGGTCACTACTGCTGCCGCTACTTGAGAGTAGGTAGCTACTAATTGTGGGTCACTACTGCTGCCGCTACTTGAGAGTAGGTAGCTACTAATTGTGGGTCACTACTGCTGCCGCTACTTGAGAGTAGGTAGCTACTAATTGTGGGTCACTACTGCTGCCGCTACTTGAGAGTAGGTAGCTACTAATTGTGGGTCACTACTGCTGCCGCTACTTGAGAGTAGGTAGCTACTAATTGTGGGTCACTACTGCTGCCGCTACTTGAGAGTAGGTAGCTACTAATTGTGGGTCACTACTGCTGCCGCTACTTGAGAGTAGGTAGCTACTAATTGTGGGTCACTACTGCTGCCGCTACTTGAGAGTAGGTAGCTACTAATTGTGGGTCACTACTGCTGCCGCTACTTGAGAGTAGGTAGCTACTAATTGTGGGTCACTACTGCTGCCGCTACTTGAGAGTAGGTAGCTACTAATTGTGGGTCACTACTGCTGCCGCTACTTGAGAGTAGGTAGCTACTAATTGTGGGTCACTACTGCTGCCGCTACTTGAGAGTAGGTAGCTACTAATTGTGGGTCACTACTGCTGCCGCTACTTGAGAGTAGGTAGCTACTAATTGTGGGTCACTACTGCTGCCGCTACTTGAGAGTAGGTAGCTACTAATTGTGGGTCACTACTGCTGCCGCTACTTGAGAGTAGGTAGCTACTAATTGTGGTTCACTACTGCTGCCGCTACTTGAGAGTAGGTAGCTACTAATTGTGGGTCACTACTGCTGCCGCTACTTGAGAGTAGGTAGCTACTAATTGTGGGTCACTACTGCTGCCGCTACTTGAGAGTAGGTAGCTACTAATTGTGGGTCACTACTGCTGCCGCTACTTGAGAGTAGGTAGCTACTAATTGTGGGTCACTACTTGAGAGTAGGTAGCTACTAATTGTGGGTCACTACTGCTGCCGCTACTTGAGAGTAGGTAGCTACTAATTGTGGGTCACTACTGCTGCCGCTACTTGAGAGTAGGTAGCTACTAATTGTGGGTCACTACTGCTGCCGCTACTTGAGAGTAGGTAGCTACTAATTGTGGGTCACTACTGCTGCCGCTACTTGAGAGTAGGTAGCTACTAATTGTGGGTCGCATTGTTGGGTATAGTAACTGGGATCACTGGTTATGTAAGGGGACTGTATGTGGCTACTGTCAATGGAGCGGGGAGGATTATATATGAAGTTTATCACAATTGTAACGTACAAGATACGTATGAATTATTGAGCAGTGTTCATTTTAACTACATTGTATTCAGGGTATACCAGCTCGAGCTAGGCCAGTAGTCCAGGTTTACTGTTGCTACAGCTCGAGATTCGTATCGCTAAGGATATAAATAAATAAATAAATAAGTAGTAACTATGATCGCTACTTGAATGTCTTCTTGTTTGTGGTAATTGGGGAGCTGTGTGGTTGGGTCCGGGACTCTACGGCGTAAGACTCTACGGCGTGAGACTCTAACCCTAACCCTAACCCTAATGGCTAATTCTAACCCTAACCCTAACCCTAACCCTAACCCTAATTCTAACCCTAACCCTAACCCTAACTCTAACCCTTACCCTTACCCTTACCCTTACCCTTACCCTTACCCTTACCCTTACCCTTACCCTTACCCTTACCCTTACCCTTACCCTTACCCTTACCCTTACCCTTACCCTTACCCTTACCCTTACCCTTACCCTTAATCTTACCCTTACCCTTACCCTTACCCTAACCGGTAACCATATCCCAAACCCTAACCCCTAACCCTAACCCGCCGTAGAGTCTCACGCCGTAGAGTCTTACGCCGTAGAGTCCGGACCCCGTGTGGTTCTTATTATTTGCAAAACTGAAACCGTTTTTGGGGTGTATTTAGGGTGAGCTAATAGACTACTGCTACTCAAGTGTTATTGTTAAGGATTATATATATAATAACTAACATTGTTATAGAAACTAAATAGTTGTGAAAGGTGGTGTCTTGGTTATCCCGGAAGAAAAACAACTGGGATAAATTTGAAGTGAAATGCGGATGCCAGACTTTTGGGATATTTTTTGTCTGAGTTAATAATAGTTCAGGTGTAGTTACTCCTTATTATGTACACCACGCCTTATTGTGAAATGCCAGAGATATAACTAGCTTTGTTGTAAGTACCGATTATGAGGGAACTATATGGTTAATTGTAAGAAAGTAACTGGTTGTTGTTGAAGGTGGAGACCCTTGTTCTTATACTTAAATAGTCAGCTGATCCGGAGTTTATCTGATCCGGAGATAATGTCTAATTATTGAGCCTTGTTAGTAAAGTATTGGTAATGGAGAACTGTGGGGCTTTTGAGGGTGTGGTCTTGGTATTTCCAACAGAGAAACTATTTTGATGACTTTTTGATGTTACTTCGATTGTGAGAAAAATTGAAGATGTTTTTGTGCGAGTTAGTAACAAAGTTATGGCCAATTGTAACTTGAAAGGTTTAAGAGTTAGAACTACATATTATTGAAACTAAATTTTATCCCCCAAACTACCGGCCTGAACCAACCATTTGCATTTAAAAGGTTCGTTTAAATCACTTAAATTACCTTGCGAAGAGCTGTTGCCACAGACGGTAGTTAGAAATGTAAGTGAGTGGCTAGAGGCACGAACTGCAAGTTGAGTATTAAAATGTATATTGTCCATTTTCCACGAAAGATTTAGCTGCATGTAGCATTATCGCAAGGTGTCATTATAGAAATAAACTTGGTATAATTTGACTCTCCATTTTATGAAGAACTGTGCAATTTATTTTTGCGTCATGTTTGCGTAAATTGGAGTGTTCCTAATTCCTTCCACAAATAACTCAATAAAATTTCAAGATTAGCCAACTTTATGCTAATTATTCTTTGAAGTAAACTGCCGGAAATAACACATTTCAAGCAGTTTAGAGCAATGACTTGCCGAATCAAGTTTATAGGACTATACCTGTTTATTGCTTATGACTTTTGCTTTTTGGTACAACGCTTCTCACCAATTATAAATTACTGTCATCACCAAATAATTGCTATCATCAATACAAATTTGATTCATAAGCGCCAAATTATTGATTCCGGCCGCACACAATGAGCAAAAACAACGTTTTAAACTTTTAAAACACCTTCCTTAAAACATGGAATGCATAGTCGACACATTAGTTTTGTTATGATACGTAAAGCCAAGACAGCAACCGTTACTATTTACAAGATGGTATCAAAATAGCTGCACACATTACTCTCATTCACACGTAAAATATATACATTTCCAGCCGCAACAATCATTACTTACTCAACCCAATATATACCTGAATATACCTGAGCAGTGACCATTGCCCTACAAACGAATCCACCAAAATAACAGTGTGCAGCCGCAGCCACCACTGCACCCCCTCCCTTCCAATCCATCAAAAACAAAGCAAACCTCACTCTCTCAATAGCCTCCCCACTTAATGACAGCACAGTATATTATATCTTTTAGAGAAGGATCCTATAAAGACTGGCAGTGTGTGTAGAGAGATGCAGGCTCGGTCTGGTAAGTGTTAAAAGCACACCGTATGCCAGTTCAAGTTGCCCATGAATGGAATAAACACTCTCTACTTTGGCAGAAACCTAGAGGGAGTGAGAGAGAGAGGGGTGAGAGAGTGAGTGAGTGAGTGAGAGAGAGAGAGAGAGAGAGAGAGAGAGGGAGTGAGAGAGGGAGAGAGAGAGATAGTATCATTTTCGCTTTCAAATAGTTTACATTGGAGTACTGTCCAATAAAAATCATTACTTAACTTTGTTCGGAAGGAGGGGATAGTTGTGTGACAAGGTAGATGGAACCTGTGTTCCTTTGGCCTGACAGCTCGCAAAGTAAATAACCCCTCGATACGTGTTGTACTGTTTGTTAAGTTGTTATTAAACATGTTTGTTGGATATTGCTCTTTTTCTTATCTGTTTCGACGCTGTTATCGGTTCTTTATTTTCAGATGCAGTGCTGAGGGGAATGGCGTCGAAACGTTTGGGTGAGTTTTTTGGTTAATCAATACTTTAATAAGTACAATAATCGATTTAGTTTTTACTTGGTGAGTTTCTAACTTTTGGTGAGTTTCACTCGGTTAGTTTTCACTTGGCTTCCGCGAGGCACACTGTCATTGAGCCAGTAACTTTTATCTGTAAATTTCCGTGCCAGGGGAATTTATGGAGACTATAATATTATCACCTCTTAATTTTTAAATGTATTTCTCTACTGATTTTCTGACCGCACGTACACGTTTTGCTACGTAACGACTATTATTATAATGTATTTATCATGTTCCCCAAACTTTAAAATCCATAAACACTTCTGTAAAACCCTAAGCCCACTTCCTTCAAGTTATAAAGGTTTAGATAAATTACTTATGGTTCAGATAAACCGTAACTATTCATGATCAATCTACACCACACTTCTCAAACATGCCGTATTTTTGCTCGGTATAAACCAGACCATCACTTCATGAGAATGCACAAGGACATAATCACCTACCAGTTCGGCCGTAATATATCACTTAATGATCGTAGATAATGGGTTAACGAGCCAGCGCGTAGCTACACGTTACTTAAACTGTGCTAGCGAGAGAGTTATGTATAGAGTTCATAACACTGTCAAGGTCTGGTTGTCGTCTCCCCGTGTGCGTTGGCAAGTGCACGTGTACCTGCGCGTGTACCAGCACGTGCACACAGTTATATAAGTCGAGGAGAGATATCCCGGACAGCTCTGTCAAATTAGGCACACTTTTTGAAGAGATCTTCTGACGTGGCAGGTGAACAGAAACTGCCGTGAGAGAATGATGTGCGTGACGTCAAGGAAATAGCTTGATTGCGTACTGCGCGTAGCCCTCGTCAGATACCGTCAGTACTAAATACTTCCTTAATAAATAACTCGACCTCTTAACACCGGTTTAAAACTTGGCAGCTTACAAAAAGCATCGAGTTTTTCCTGGACAGGTTATAAAATCAGGTGGCATCTACTGCAGTTGTGGCTTACTGCAGTTGTAGCTTACTGCAGTTGTAGCTGCAATCTGTTACCGAGCATAAGTTCAATTCGTATAAGTGGCCTGTCCACTTGCAGCGTTCGGGGAAGGATGCTGCCCACTGTCCACGGACAACCGTTCGTGGATACTGCCCAGCTTCTTTAATTGCTTCTATAGATTTTTACGATACTATCTGCCTTAAAAGGGCTTTTTTAAATGTTGAACAACCAACGCCATTATGCTGCCATTATGCTGCCATTATGCTGCCACTATGCTTCCACTATGCTGGCATTATGCTGGCATTATGCTGCCACTATGCTTCCACTATGCTTCCATTATGCTGCCACTACAAGACCGATCTGCCGCCACCAGTTAAGCCTCTAGGCTCTATCTGTATTCAAGTTATTCGGATTAGTTTGAAATGTTACAATAGGAGTACATCTTAACTTGATTGACCTATCTGTTTTCCAACCCGTTAACCATGTGCCCTGGTCTCTAGGATCAATTACTCCAGAACCTTGTGCCCCGGTGACTAGCACACTAGAAGCAAATGTACCTGTAAGGATAGAATACGCCAAAAGTGGTCATTTTATAATCGCACCCTTCAATATAGTGCAAGGGCTGCATTTTACTCTCCATCTTTTGCTTTTTATTCTCGATATTAGACAGCAGGATATCGAAAGCTGTCATTAGATCTCACTTTCTGACACTTACCACCAGGCCTGACTGAGATGAGATCTTAAGACCTACCAATGGACCTTGTCCTCAAGACTTATAGTCATAACCCACGTAAGAGTAATAGTTTCACGTCCAGCAGTTTAGAGATTACGTGTTTGTGACATAACTTCACTTTAAAGCTTTAAACTAATTTCGATCACTTCAATATGGATAGCTTCATAGTACAGCGTTGCTTGTACCATCTGAGCCCCCTTAAAATGTTCCACTTTTAGTGGTTGCAGAGTGCGTTTAACTTTAATTGACTATTAATTATAACGTTTATGCTGCTAAATTTAGAGAAATCTATAAATTCTGACTCGCTTACGTCGTAGTAGTAATTAGTAACCTGCTTTGGTCAGTGAAGTAGTTTTTACTGCTCCTTATAAGGTCAAAACACAAATCCATTTCTCCCGGCTCCAAAATAGAAACGTAAAGTAACGGTCACAGCACCGAATATGGTCACCTGCTTGTGTACCTGCAACTGCGTCGTTTCGCTGCCCACACACTTAATGGTCTCCCAGAGAGAGAGAGAGAGAGAGAGAGAGAGAGAGAGAGATCCTCGCTCAGTCTGTATTACAAGAGCTCTCGCATGAGAGCGGGTAAATGCTGATAACCTGGGCCCCGAATTCTTGGCACAAAGTTCGGGTGATCCAGCCTCTCTGTTTCCTGGAGTCCAATCATTCCGGCGCTCTGATTATTTAAGTTCCGTGCCACTGGGGTTGTGAGTAAAAAATGTAGAATTAGATATCGCCATAATTTGCCATTTTCCCCCAAATCTGGGACGGCATTGATGTATGACAGGGCCTGAAACGTCGAGGGATGCATGCCTTGCATTCTTAACGGAATACCATACAATCATAATTAACTGATCATCGATTTGATCATGCTGAGATACCGAATCAAGGTGTATATTGGGACAGAGCATTATAATGATGTAATGGGTGGAATGACAGATCTTACAGAAGTGTTACAATCATGACTGCCACCTTTATCTGTACCCCTGATTCGACATCTTGATAAAATTCTTGGCTAGCCGTTCTCTTTCTTTTTTCCCATATTATTACGTCGTTTTCTGGGGAATAGGCCCAGAATTATGGTAAATTATTATCATTAGTGAGGTTGAGTAGGTATCACCATCAATAGTAGCTACCTCAATGATTTCAACTTAAATTACTTTGATTACCTCATCATCCTCCCGTTTTCTCTAAATTCTGCAGCATTTCAATAAAAATCAATCGGCTTATTTTAGATTTTACTCGGTAGGATTCTCCCGAATTTCTCAAATTAGGCGAAATTACATCAGCCCCGCATATTTTGGCATGAACATACCTTGAATGAGAGGGATGATTCGTAACTTTATAACTTACTAATACTTCCTCCCCTTTTCGTTACTCGGCCCTTAATCACGAGTTTAACTGCCGGCCACTGCTAGCTCGGTGTGTGCATGAGAATTGGTGGAGAGTGTGGTGGTAACTCTGCTCAGACACTGGGTCCTGCCCTGTCCACCACCTTCCACAGAAGAGGGAGCTCGTATCTTTACTGGTTATAATGACTGACGCACTGGCACAGGGGTCAGGGTAATAGAGTTAGCACTTTATTGAAAGGATCTGCTTATCAAAACTACCTCATTCCTTTTTCGCGTGGTAACTCTGGATTGAGAGACATGGTGGGGAGGTTTTTAGTTATGTGGAAAAGTGATCTAATGCTGTGAGATATTCTGGACTGCCTTGATAACACAATCACATACCTTGTTCAAGTGGCCAATTTCTCTTTTACTGTTGTTTATTTACGATGCAGATTACAAGCGTGATTAATGCTGGAGGGGAAGAAACTTCTATTCACTATTTATAGAGTTATAGGAGTCGATCATTCTTCCACTTCCATAAACTGCAAGACGTTTATCGTTGCCCTCCCAGCAGTACTAGTGGTAGGTCAAGTTCTTTTTTGCTACCGCGGCAAAATTCTTGTTTTCCTAATGGACTGCGGACGTCTCCTCAGACGTTACGTAGGGTACCAAATTCAGTATTTGCAGACCAGCAATACTCCCTGCCTATTTTAATGGACTCTCCAACCTTGTGTGATATCAGTTAGATGTTAATAATGTCTTTTTATGGTCGTATATACTCACTGTAACCGCTCCCTGTCATAATAAACCTAAGCTACGTTCGCTTTCTAACAGTAACAGCATATTGGTGAATTATTTCTACTGTCTTGTACTATCGACTAAGCTTCCTTTCTGCAGACAAACCTGTTTACTAATAGCCTCGTTATTTGGACCTGTCGGTGAGATTGAGCAGGAAGGAACCTATCAAAAAGCACATTTTAAGACATTTTCTGAAGAACCCACTATGTCTATAAGAGGTAGATTTATGATAATGGTTGTAAAAACTGTAAGGTTTTACTTCATGTAGAGAAATAGGAGATTGATGTTTAATAGATTTGCAATCATTCAGTTCGAGCCTTCAGGGACGGTTCCGATATTTTTTTGACGAATCTCCCTGGCAGCAACACAAAAACTTTAAAAATTCCTAAAGACCTTTTGTGTTTTGACCTTATAAGGAGCAGTAAAAACCACTTCACTGATCAAAACAGATTGCTACTACGACGGAAGGAGTCAGAATTTATATATTTATCTAAATTTAGCAGCATAAACGTTATAATTAATAGTCAATTAAAGTTAAACGCATTTTGCAACCACTAAAAGTGGAACATTTTAAGGGGCCTCAGATGGTACAAGCAACGCTGTACTAGTATGAAGCTATCCATATTGAAGTGATTGAAATTAGTTTAAAGTGAAGTTATGTCACAAACACGTAATCTCTAAACTGCTGGACGTGAAACTATCACTCTTACGTGGGTTATGACTATAAGTCTTGGACGACAAGGTCCATTGGTAGGTCTTAAGATCTCATCTCAGTCAGGCCGGGTGGCAAGTGTTAGAAAATGAAGTCTAGTGAAGTTTAAGTTATTTTTATCTTCATGCGATGACATGTTTTCAGCTTATTTGGATTGACAGCAAAGCAATCTTGACCTTCACTTCGTTTCATTACAGTTTCCAGTTGTGTTGCAGTTCTTTTTTGCAGTTCTTCTATTTTTTCGTTTTACTACATTACTTTTCTTAAAAAGTCTCCTTTTTAATTTCTTTCTGCGAACGTTTTCAAAAGGATTCTCCAAATCTCGTCTCTCCAAATCTCGTAAACCACATTAAAAAACTTAAAATAACACTTAATATAAGGTTTGTTAGGATTTTTCACACATTTACACTGCACGTAAAAAATTCTTTCCAATTAGATTTA